ATTGGAACAGAGTATTTATCAAGTATAAAAGTTTAATGCTTGTTTAGTCCGATACACTTAACATAAAATATAAGTTACAATACAGCCATTTTGGCTAACATCAACGAACGTACATTTTACAATACGAACATAAGCGACATCTATGATATCTATAACCATAACGTCAATGTTTTAAATCTGGTTATACAAGATGCTTCAACACTTCCCCTGATTTAAAACATTACAAAATATAAATTAACATAATTTAAATTTGAAGTCCTAACCCTCGTGAACACCAGTTGTGTTTTTCTCTCGGTAGTGATTTTGTTAATATATCAGCGACCATTTCTTCTGTGTTGATTTTGTGAATTACGATTTCCTTTTGGGCAACTGCTTCATGGGTAAAATGGTGTTGAATGTCAATGTGTTTGGTTCTGGCGTGAAACACACTATTCTTACTCAAGTCAATAGCACCTTTATTATCACAATAAATTTTGATGGGGTCGTCGCAGTTTGGGAGTTGCAATTCTCGTAGAAGCCTTCGTAACCATATGGCTTCTTTCGTTGCCTGGGCCAGCGCCATATATTCCGCTTCGGTTGTAGAGCACGCTACAGTTGGTTGCTTTTTGCTTTGCCATGTAACTGCGCCACCAGCAAGTAAAAATGTGAATCCCGTTGTGGATTTCCTATCGTCAGGGCATCCAGCAAAGTTTGAATCACAGTATCCAATAATTTGCGGGTTTCCAGAGGATGAATACTTCAATGTTGCTCCTGTGGTGCCACGCAGATACCTCATAACACGCTTTACGGCTGTCCAGTGATTTGGACCGGAATTTGAGCAATATTGGCATAAAACGCCTATGACGTATGCCAGGTCTGGTCTAGTAGCCCTCGTAGCATACAGTAATTTGCCAACAGCACTCTGGTAGACAGAAATTTCAGCTTCTTTTCGCTTGTTATTTTCTGAAACTTTGCAAATTTTGTTATTAACATCATTAGGAATACAAACAGGTTTACAATCATGCATGTTAAATTTTCTTAAAATAGTTTCAACATAATTAGATTGTTTTAACAATGTAACACCTTTATCTCTATCACGTTGAATTTCAATGCCAAACAATATTGCATTTTACCAAGATATTTCATTTCAAACATTTGCATCAATTGTTGTTTAGTCAAATCTATTAGTTTTATAGAATTTGATAACAATATGAAATCGTCAACATAAACTGCTATTACAACAATTTTGGAATTTGAAAATCTGTAATAAACACAACAATCAAAAGTTGAACAATTGAAACCAATTTCTTTAAGTTCATTGTCTAACTTTTTATACCACGCACGTCCTGATTGTTTTAATCCATTTACAGCTTTTTGAAGTCGACAAACGAGTTTACTTTCACTTCCCCTTTCATTGGAGACTTCCAAACCTTCAGGAATTGTCATATAAATTTCCTCTTCAATTGTTCCTTGTAGAAAAGCAACAACTGCATCCAGGTGATGAATGTCCCAATTGTAATGTCGCTATTGCTAACAAAATACGTAAAGTTTCATAACGAACAACAGGTGAAAATGTTTCAGTGTAATCTAGTCCCTCCTTTTACGAATATCCTTTGGCAACAAGTCGAGCCTTATAACGATTAAGAGTTCCATCGGAATTACATTTCAGCTTAAAAATCCACTTTGACTTAATTGGAATTCGATTTTCTGGTAATTTGGTAACTGTCCAAGTACGATTTCGTTCATGAGCTTGCAATTCTTCTTCAATTGCCCCTTTCCATTTGTCAGCATCAGGTCTACTCAATGCTTCTTGTAGGTTGAGAGGAGCATCTAAAAATTCTTCCTCAGTATTACTTATAGCAACTTGGCATCGGTGCATTTTGGGAATTTCGACTTCACAATCATCGTAACGAGAAGGTAGACGAATTTGACGGATTGTCCTTCGTGACGTTTCCGGAATTGACGCTTCAGCTTCTACTCGTACTTCAGATTCGGTTTCCTTTTCAACTTCGTGAACTTCGGGCTGTACTATCCTACTAGTGGTACTCGTGCAAGTTGTATCATCTTCGTAAAATGTAGAATTGCCCATCTTTACGGGAATTATTTCATTTTCAACTTCGTTTTTGAAATTTTCTATGAAGATTACATCTCGAGCTTCAGTAACTTTGTGTGTGACAGGATCTATCAGCCGATACCCTTTACTGGTTACACTATAGCCAACAAAAATCTTTTCTTCAGATTTATCGTCAAGTTTAGAACGATTTGCTTTGGGTATGTGCGTAAATGCACGACATCCAAATGTTCGCATATGACTTAAATCAGGCTTTTCGCCCGTCCACGCTTTAAATGGTGTCATGTGTGAAACAGCAATTGTTGGACTACGGTTTTTACAATAATTTGCGGTACAAACAGCTTCCGCCCAATATGATTTGTCGAGGTTTGCTTCCGTTAACATAGCCCGTGCCTTTTCGATTAGTGTACGATTGCAGCGTTCGGCTACTCCATTCTGCTCAGGGGTGTGAGCAATTGTTAATTGATGATGGATTCCTGTTTCACTAAAAAATGTCTCTAATTGTTTGTTAACGTACTCACCGCCACGATCCGAACGTATAGCTTTTATTCGTTTACCGGTTTGATTTTCAATGTATGTACGAAATTCTGAAAGTTTAGTAAACACTTCATTTTTAGTTTTTAGAAACGATACAAATGTCATTCGCGTGTAATCGTCAATAAGAGTAAGTACATACCGCGCACCTCCTATCGAAGGAACGTTCATTGGCCCGCACAGATCGGAATGCAGTAGTTCAAGCACCTCTGTTGCCCGATGTACTTTCTTCTGTGGAAAAGGCAATCGATGTTGTTTACCCTTAATACATGAAACACACGCTTCCATTGTTCCTGAGTATTCTAAACCTTGTACCATGTTGCGTAAACGATCAAGTCCGCCACAACTTAAATGTGCAAGCCGTCGATGCCAGAGCATAATCGGATTAACGGACGATACTGCTAATGCGTTTAATTTGACGGTATCTAAAAAATATAAGTTGTCTCCATGAGCTGTACCTGTGGCGACAATTTTTCCTGTTGCCTTTTGTACCATTTTACATTCATGAGCATCGAAGATCGTAATTATACCTTTATTTCTAGCCAGGTATTTTACTGAAATCAGATTTGTGGTTAGTTCGGGTACATACAGAACATTGTTGATTGTTAATTCAACCATGCAGTTATCTCTTGAAATGTTAACTAAAACAGAACCTTTGCCTACACTCGCAATTGTAGCGCCGCCAGTTTTTACTGGACACTTGGGTTCTTCTTGGTAATTATGCAACCACTCTTGATGGGATGTCATGTGCATATCGGCACCGGAGTCGATGATCCAAGGTTCACTGCTCGTTCCGCGTTCAGTACTCGATGAAGATGAAGCTATCCATGCCTCCCTTACTTTAATGGTTGATGCACTTCCAGATGAGCCTCTTTTACTTCCTTGTGTACTTGCATTGGTCTGCTTCGCTCCCGTTGCCCCTTTGTTTGGACAAAATTTTGCCTTATGCCCGAATGCTTTACAATAATTGCATTTCCCTTTAAAAGTATAGCCTTTGGTTGTCGTATTACCCCTCGTTTTCATAATTAAAGCATTTTGCGATGGTGGTGTCATCTTCACATATTCAGCTTGCAGTTTTTCACATACCAGGTCCGTTGTTAATTCCATAACGCTGTTTTCTAGTGCCATTGTCAAAGGACGAAAGTATTCAGGCAAATT